GCGCCTCCACCATAGACTTTGTATGTAAACCTGCTGCTCCTGACGCTGAAATCGCGTTTGGTGTGAACGCACCATAAGTGTTCTTATATAGTGACCACACATTAGCTATTTAGTGGAAATGTGATATCTTGTGGCCATGTGTTATTATCTCATAGTCGTGCATTGTGCATTAGCTATCTCTTGGCCATGTGTTGTTATGTAGTGGCCACACGTTAACTATCTGGTGGCACCGTGCAATTATCTTGTAGTCATGTGTTACTATCTCGTAGTCACACAGTTGCTATATCGTGGCCACGTGTTATTACCTTGTGGCCAGTGGTGGGCACAGTTCCCCTAAAGCATTAAAGCACTTATAGGGGAACTAATTTCCTGATTAGTGCTTTAGGGCTTTTGCTCATTTTAAAATTTATTAATGGATTAGCACTTGTTAAATTTATATAGCACTAAGTGAGGTCTATAAATGTTGTTAATCAACGTTAATGTTAACAGCTGAGGGTGAAAGCTGATGCACATTTTGTTCATTTGTGTGTCACTTATAGGTGACATATTGACAATATAGGAACTCAGATACAGCTGTGGAATGTCAATAAGTCTTAAGAGAGAAACATGTCAACATGTGACTCATGTTGTCTGTTGAAGAATGTTCATGGGTTGATTGGGTTATTTTAGTGCTTTAGAAGTAGCTTTTGCTAAAACTTTCAGTGCATTAGTGCTTTAGGATTAGGGGACCTAAATATTTGAGTTAGTGTTTTAGGGCCAGTGGAACTAATTTTTAGATTGGTGCTGCCCACCACTGCTTGTGGCCATGTGTTATTGTCTCATTGTCATGCATTAACTATCTTATGGCCACATGTTATTTTCTAGTGGCCAAATATTAACATGCAATTATCTTGTTGTCATGTGTTACTATCTCYTAGTCACACATTAACAATCCCGTGGCCATAGGTTATTTTCTTGTGGCCATACATTAACTATCTCACGGCCATGTGCTATTATCTCTTGACTATGTGTTATTGTCTCCTAGTCACGCAAAAACTATCTCATGGTCACACATTTATTATCTCATGGCCCTGTGTTATAATCCTGTGTCCATGTGTTTTTGTCTCAGAGTCATGCAATAATTATCTCTTGGTCACATGTTGTTACAGCGGGTAAAATAAGTATCGAGCACGTCACCATTTTTCTCAGTAAATATATTACTAGAGGGGCTAATGA